AATATGATTCTTACTTGCTTGGAAAAGGGAGCAGTATGTGGTATTGTCGTATGCTTCTCTTTACGTTTTTTTTTTGTGGAAAATAATGTGATGTTAGGGTTTAGTTTGTTCCTGGATTGTGAAGACTAGCGGCTTGTTGAATGGGATATTGTGATGTTGTGACTGTGTGGTGAACTACGAATCCACTTTCATTGAATTCTAGTGTACTTTCCCTTGTAGAAAACAAGGTCAATTTACTGGCCCAATGTACTTAAACTGGAGCTAGAATGATTTCTAGTCCAATCGCAGTTATGGACTGAAGTTGCCCAAACCTTGGGATCGAAGGAACTTAATGAGATGGTCCCTACCTGAGCTGGATAGTTTAGGTGGTTTGTCACGGTTGGGGCTGTCTAGCAAATAAGCAGTGGCTGGGTTTAGCCCTCAAGTTGTTGAATTGGTTTGTTTTGCTTCCTCCATCTGAATGCTTTCTTATATGCATATCCTCATTTTATGAGTGATTTGGTGAAGGAATTTTGTGTTGGGTTTGCCCACTAGCGGTAACATCATCTGAAATGTTCTCCACATACCATTTTCTTCATGTCTTAAATTGTTTCAATATTCCACTCTCAAGCACAATCTTATGGCTCTTCATAAGTTGAATTAGTGAGTCCATTGCTTTAAATAATCCTCTCATCATTTACAAAGGAAGTCAATAGCTAGGAGTTAATGTGATTAATATATGAGCATTGTATCTACTTAGACTCTGCAATGTCCCTCTAGAGGTAGCAGTCCTTTGACATTGTCTGAAAAATAATGGTGTATCAGGTTTTAGTTTATAGTCTGTATGGTGGGCACTAGCAGCTTGTTGCTATATTTTTCCTTTTCCTCATTGCTTATTAGGTGCATTAAATTTTCAGACCCTGGTCACATCAGTAGGAATTGTGCTAAGCGGGAGCATATTATATCCCAATGGACTTTGTGAAAACCATGGTCTGTTGAGTCATCACTATCTAATGAAATGAGGGAGGGAGGGATCCCAATGGACTTTGTGAAAACCATGGTCTGTTGAGTCATCACTATCTAATGAAATGAGGGAGGGAGGGAGAGAGGGAGAGAGAGAGAGGGGGGCTGGGACCCACCTGGGGCCGTGTCCTATTCTGGTGTCCCACGCTTACTCCATAACCATGCATCGATTCGATGGATGATGGTGTCCTGTTCATCTGATTATACTATTACACCATCATCTGCTTTGACACTCTAGGTCCCGGCGAGATTTTATTTTATTTTTATTTTTATTTTATTATTTTATTTTATTTGGTGGAGGGGTTGTGGGTGGGGGGTAAGCCTGACATGTCCATTTGAGATTGGCTCTTCAAAATTATTTATGAAAAATATTTAACCAAACATACTTTTATAGGTATTTGTGTTGTTTTAAGTTTGGATAACTGATTCATGTGGGAGTTTAGCACATTAGCGGTTGAGCTCTCTCTAGAAATTATCTTGGTTTTTTTATCTCCTTTTGCATGCCCTTACAGGTTGCAATGATATATACATGCATCATATGTAGGAGTTCCATTTATCATGGTCCTCTCATTAAAATTATCTTCAAGGAGAGCGAAAGAAGAAGATCTGCTATTAGATGAATTGTTGGCTTGAATTTTTGTCCCCAATCATAGTATTTGTTATCGTTAAATCTAATTACTGCGATTCATCAAAACGTTCAATAACCTAATATTAAAAGTTTTCATCTGGATTAATTGAAGTCTATTTCTATGGTAACAGGTGTTTAGCTTGTGGAACAATTATGTGTATGCAAATAAACTGTGTGCCTCTTTGCTGCAATTTGTCCTTCCTCCAGACTTGACTATCTCTGATGCTTCTTAAGGGTATGTCATGCAGATAGCCCACTCTGCCTATATTGATACTCCACTTGGACCTGACGCATTTCGTGAATATGAATCCTTACTTCTTCAAGATTATGAGGAGTTCATGTGCAAGCATAAACTGGTAAAGCCTGATGAGGCCGAGGAAACCAAGCCACATGAAGAGGTTTTATTGGAGGATGAGGGTTGGCAACAGTTGGATTCGAATGAAGAGCTTACTTCCAGCCCTGGATCAGGATCCACTGAGCGTCTATTAGGTCAAAGCAATGCCTCCAAAGGATCGAGTAAACTGACTGTATCAGTCACTCATTTCCCGATGATTTTATGTCCTCTCTCACCTGGCGTTTTTGTTCTGCCTTCTGAGGGTGCAGTTGCAGAAGCTTGCTTATCTATAGATCATGATGATTCTGTTAGCCCTGGGCTGCCTGCTATAAGTAATGGAGCAGCATCTGATGGTGAGGACATTCCTCCTGGAGCCACCCTCACAGCGCATTTCCTTTACCATCTGGCTGAGAAGGTAGTAGTAGTACCACGTCTCAAACCTGTGGTACTATGTTGCAAACTTAACAGATATGGCTGACAAATCCATTGGATAATGGAAAATCATAGTCCATATGGGTTATCACCATCTATGGAGTCATGGATGATGATGGAGAGAGCGGGACCCACCATTTGTGGTCATATGCTGTTAGTGGGCCCCATTTTCCCTCCATCATTGTTTATCAACTTTATGGGATGGTATACTTCACATTCAACTCTGGTTTTATGTAATCCATTAGATTATAATATACCTTTTCTTTGTGGAAAGTTTGCGGATTTGCTTTCTTGATCGAATAATCGAGCATGGGGTTTAAGCAGTTCCCTTTATATGTATGTAGATGGATTTGAAGATGGAAGTATTTTCTCTGGGTGATTTGTCAAGGAATATTGGGAAGATTTTGATGGACATGTCAAGCCTTTATGATGTGGGTGGACGTGGTAAAAGATCCGCCGGTTTATTGCTTGTTGACAGAACACTCGATCTCCTCTCACCATGCCTTCATGGTGACTCACTTGTTGATCGCATGTTTGCATCTTTGCCGCGCAGGGAAAGAATGGCCTTCGCTCCTCATACAAAAGACTCAAACCCTCAAAACAAGGCTGTCTCTTGCGGTTTGCAGCGTGCCCCTCTCGATGTTCGAATACCTCTTGAAAGCATTCTTAGCGAAAATGGGTCTCCAAAGAATGGCTTTCCCTTCTCCAAAAGTATGCAATCCTTTGTATCTGGATGGAGTTCCAATGATAAAGGTTCCTCTGTTACAAGTTTAAATGACCAAAGTGGCAAAGTTACTAATGCTATCCATGTGGGGTGCTCTGAAACTGGTTTTCTTAGTGGGTCCCTCGTATCCACTGAGAACCATCTAGGGGTGCGTTATTTGGAAGCTCTACTTGATAGAAAAACAAAAGATGGAGCTTTGCTAATAAAGAAGTGGCTCCAGGATGCCCTTTGTAGAGAGAAGTTGCATTTGAGCCTAAACATTCGACCTAGTCCTGCTAATGTATCAGAGTTGCATTCTATGATAAAGTTGTTGGCTTCTACTCAGGCATCCTTAATAAGAAACAAAGGGATCATTCAGCTTGCCATGGCTGCTCTAGTAGCCCTTAGTGAACCTCGTAGTTCTCGCTGGAAGGCATTTACTAATGCCGAGAAAATTTTAAATTTTAGTGCCACTGATACAAGTCAGAGCCTTTGTGGCCAAATTTGTGATTTAATCAATAAGAGCAGTTTGGTTGGTTCTTTTGAAAATGACAAAAGCAAGAAGAGCCAGCAGTCTCTTCTCTCTTTCCAAGATGCGATTGTCCTTGCTATTACTGGATACATCTTGGCTGGTCAAAATTTTGCAACTTCTGGTTCTGGGGGTCCTTTTTCTTGGGAAAAAGAGCATTCCCTAAAGGAAGCTTTTGCAGATGCAATCCTCGAGTGTTCACAAGAACTGAATTTTGGGTTTCTTCGGGGTCTAGAAGATGATTTGGAAGCTCATAGGAAGAAGCTTGCGTCTGAAAAGATGGAAGGGACTTCTTTAGAGCAACCAACGATTGATTTTGAAGACCAGTGGGGTAGCTGGGATGAGGAAGATACAGAGCATAACAGTGAACACATTTATGGAGACATGCAGTTGAGGTTGGAAATACGTGATAGAGTTGATCATCTATTCAAGGTTTTCCATAAATTGTCGGGCTTGAATAGAAACTCCATCTCTAGAGGGTCATTGAGTATAGATGATTATTCAAGCGATGATACTTTGGGTAACAGGGGATTGTTGTATAAACTTCTTAGGTTAACATTGGAAAAAGATGATATACCTGGTTTGCATTATCATTCATCGGCAGTTGGGCGATTTTTTAAAAGCGGGTTTGGAAGATTTGGCCTAGGCCAGGTAAGCATTCATTTCTAGACCTCCTTTTATGATTTTCTTATTAGTGATAACAGAAATTGTGCTCCCATAGTTTCATTGAGTTCCGTAGTTTTTCCATAAAAATGAAAGAGATTTTTTTACTCTTTTAGGCAAAACCAAAGTTCGGTGATCAGAGTGTGCTGTTCGTTTTCATAGTGGGCGGGATTAACACGGTTGAGGTATAATTTCACTAAGTTAAATACATATATTATGCCATTTGGGGTGTTTGAGTTTTTTCCTTTCCTTTCGAGGTTGCTTATCATTCTTTGAATGCTCAGTGGTAATAATTTCAACTGTGTTTTGTCGTGAAGATACGTGAAGCTCGTGAGGTAGTGGTAGAAACTGGTGGCCCCGTAGTTGATTTGTTACTCGGTGGTACTACTCTTCTAACTGCAAATGACATGTTTGATTTGCTGCTTGGATCTTCCAGCTACATTTAGCACTTCTCAATCTTTGTTGGGAATCCAATTTTTAGTCATTTATTATTGAGTGCGATGCCACCACAATTGTATTATTTTGTATAATGTATATACCCACCCATAGTCGGAATTTTTTATTTATTTTTAATAGTCACCCTTTGACTTTTTTCGGGAACTAACCATCAAAATGGTTATGGAGGTTGCTGTAGTCTTGTTCAAATGAGGATGGTAGATGAATATTAATGTCCCTACATGAGGCAAAAATTAGTGCTAATTTACCCTTGCAAAGAAAGAAGAGTACGACTTTGTCTATTTGGATTGTGAACGCACAATGCACTAGGGCTGCTTACTGCAAAATTCATGATACATCCGACTTTGGTGAAAATGCCTCTTTCATTAAAAGTAGGTCCTTTTCAAATTTGGACCAATAGTGTAAGGTGTGCCATAAATATTCCACTTTTAAAGGTTATTCTGACGTTGAAAAGCCCTACAATTGGTCATCTCGATGTCGAGATTGTAGTGATATGAGTTTGTAGAGATATGAAGGAAAAAGATCTCTTAAGTCTTAAAAATAATGCATCTAGACTCTCCATTGTCAAATTTTTTATCTACATTTTGGGAGCTTTAAATTTCGTACTTAGGCAATGGAAATCTTAAATTTTTTATCTACATTTTGGCAATGGAAATCTCTATAATTATTTTAAGATCAATTTCCAACACCGATAATGAAATTGAAAATTCAAAAAATGGTGCAGATTTTGTAGATTTATGAACATTTTTTTTTAGGATGAAATGTATGGTTTAGAATCTTTAGATAATTTGTTACAATAACAATATTTTTAGATTTTGAAATCATATTTTTATTCAACCGTACTGTTCAAGCGATGCAACCTTTGCGATAAAATGAATTAACCGTATTTTTAGAGCTTTTTATGCTTGAATTCCGATTTTCTATGTGCTGAGGCTTTACGTATTTTGATAGGGCTGCAGCCCTATCAAACGATTTTCCTTTAATCAAAAGTTATTTGGAAGAAAAATCTTTCTTTGTGACTGTTTTCTCAAAAAATTAGTATGGCAAAGAATCTAAGGATATAAAGGAAAGAGTAATGATCCTATTTAAAACTTGTCAAAGGAATTGATGTGGAGAAGGGTTCTCAACCATTGGAACCCCATACAAATACGAATAGGGATTTACAAGGCAGCTCCGCCAGTGACACAGAGGCTGTGTGAGAGAGAGATCTGAGAAAAGTAGTAAAGAAAGCTTGTAATATACCAAAGATTACACCTAAGTCATTGTTTTGGGGAAAAATTCATTGTCCTTGGATGCATGAGTCAGCTCTTGATTTTTCATGGATTTAGGATCTATACCCATCCTAATCATTACAAATGGATATCCACTTGTCAGCGCGGACCTGATTTAGATGAACAGTTGTAAAAAATAGTTCAAATAAATAATTCTTCAAAAGGGTTTTGATAAACGGTTGTAACAAAGAATTCAAATAAATGACATTGTTTTGAATAAATTCGGAGTCAGCGTCGGGTGATGTTAATGGTGAGAATGGAAACTACAATATGGTTATTTATTAGGACATGGGGTTGCTACCACCATGACCCATCCTCTTTCCCAATGTTTTATTAGGACATGGGGTTGCTACCACCATGACCCATCCCCTTTCCCAATGTTTGAGATGCTTTAGAATATGGACTTGTACAAATTTGGATCCAAAATCAATATCTAAGATGGATTTTTGGAAGACACAGGCGCTAGAATAAGGTGCATCACACACCCAATAACTTAGCCCTATTAAAATGGGGATCCAAATATATTTTGTTGGGATCCATATCGTCCGTGAGAGTTTGCTAGGATCTTTGTGGGATAGGAAAACGGGAGAAAGGCAGGTTTCACAAGCTTTACAAATCCGAAGTAACCTTGTCTCAAAGTTGAAGCTGTAAATATGAATGTCCTAGATACCCTTTATGGAAAATTATTTGCCAATCTATGTTACATACATTGATGTGTTTGTTAGTGTCTGACACATATATGAGTATCATATATTACAGTGTTAAAAATGACCTTTCGGGGTTAAGAATAACTGGGGTGGCAAGCCTGAAGTTCGAATATCTTCCGGTCTCATGTTAATAATTGTTGAAATATTTCTAGTAATTCAAACTTTTGTTTATACTCATCAAGGGAAAAAACAGCTTTTGTTTGTGGTCAACTAATATTACATACATGGGTTAATACATTTAGAAGAATCCCTTAGCTAATAACCTCTACATTAATCAGTTACTTCCACTTCAAATATTATTTTCTTTGGGTAGGGCATTTCTTCAAGGGCTTAAAAAAAAGTCTCGTTAATTTATGAAATTCCTCTAATAAAACCTTAAACAATTTACATCCGTACCATATTTAAATATGGTAATAATGTAGAAGCCCAAAATTTGTGAAAATTTATGAGGTCTGCGATTGTTTTTTTTCTCCTTTTTTTTTTTTTAATTTTCTATTTTTCTTGTCATTTGATTTTCTAAATATTGGGCAGTTTTTTTATTTTTTCTTGAAGTGTGGGGATTGGTCAGAGGTTCTAAACCTCATAAACGCTTGCTTGCACAAACATTGTGGAAGCCAAGTAGTTCGAGGTTTGGAACTTCATACTTGTCGCTGGACTATGAAATTTGTAGTACAGGTATCGGTTTGATATCTTGGAATGCTATGCTTACATAATGTTCATGCATGCCAAGCTGCTGAAACCTCGGACCGATCTCTAGACTGTGATTCGCATTCCAAACATTGTTCAAAGTCTAGAGACCGGTCCGAGGTTCTAGACTTCGAATCGTTTGGCTTATTGTACAAAGCCAAGCAATCTGGGGATCAGAACTTGGACCGGTCCCGAAATTTCTTTAAAAGTTTCGAAATGAAATAAAAAGGCGGCTACCTGGTTCATTTCACCTGAGGCAGTTGTAAGTCGCGCCTGTGATTCCTTTAATACTAGATTTTCCTATGGTTCAAGTGATGAATTTAATTTTATACATACTAGAAATTTATATTATTTTAATAACAATTTGTAAATAATCTGTATGGGGCATGTGGCGAATCATGGAGGTCTTTCTAGAAAGGTGATGGCTTCTTTGTTTGTTTATTTAATTGTGAGTTAGCCATTTGTCCCCTCGTGGACTGAAAAGGAGATCCCTTTATCACTGGTCAAAGATTTTGCATTAGCACTAATCCTCCTTTTCCACGTCCACTTCCTCCTTACTAAATTGGTTTTATCATGAGATGTTTCCCACTTGATTAGAGACACGGGAATATTATTAGTATTATTTATTGGGATAATTTGTAGCTTGCTGGCTTGGTTAAAAAAGGTTGAGATGGGGAGATTGTTAGTCCTTAGTTAACAACATTATTGTAAAACGATTTTCCTTTTACCCCTTATGGTAAAACCCAGGCGATCCCTCCAGTCATTAGTGCTAATAAAAAAAAAACCACCGAAAAAATAAGAAATCGAATCCTGCATATTATCATTTTTTGAATAATTATCCAATGATTCTTATATAGAAACTAAATTTAATATAAGAAAAATCCTCCACTGTACCTTTTTTATCTGAGAGAGTAAGTGTACAATATACTCGTGCTATATTTGCTCTTTGATATTTCCCATGTTTAAAAAATATCGGAAATATGGGACTTACCTGAGTCAAACCGGATAAGGAGGCTGGCATTTCCAAGTCGAGAAACCCAAGTATTGCATGAGTCTCGCTGTTTTTCAATATTTTAAAATAGGATGTATATAATGATGTAATTTATTTTTGGTACAAAGAAGTCACAAATATCTTTAACCATTGGATGTGATATTTAATGGTTAAGGTATTACATCTAATGATCAATGGTAGTTGTGACATCTTTATACCAAAAGTAAATGGTCTCATTGTATACATTTTTTTTTAAATATTCATTTGTAAAAATACTTCTATCTAACCTGAGTTAGACAAGGGGGACTCTGCTCAAACAGGCTAGTCGAAGTCCGAATCTGACCTTTTAAACACCGGATATTTCTCTCAACCATTATTTAATTTTATAATCCTCCTTAAGCAATGGGGCTGTGAAATCTTTTACCAATTTATACCTAATTTTTTGGTTCTATATGAACTCCCTTAAGAGCCATATTGCTACAATGTGATTATCAAATCAATAAATCACGTTGATTAGACGAGCTAACACATTTCTTAATTCCAAAGCCGATATCTGATGTTCCATAAACCTTAACATCTTCAGTTAAAATTCTTAATCCCTACCAGTGACACATGTGGCATTGTCAGAAAAAGAAAAAGAAAAATCAGATTAATTCGCTTTTATTTCTTTTCATTTTCTAGTATTAATCCATGTACTTTTATTTTTCTTTAATTTTTCGAAACAATGCAGCGCAGTGATCAGTGGGCCTACGTTCTCTCAGATGCCAGCTTTTTCTGTACATCAACCGAAAGTCTTAAAAATGTCAGTAAATAACGGTGAAAATAATAAGTTAAAAAAAAAGGGTGAAAATAACCCTAGTATTCATTTTTGGGTAAATAAACAAAAAGAGATTTGATCAGTTTTATTTTAGAGAGCTAAATGAAAGAAATGGAGGAAATACCTTGTTTTGTGTTGCAAACCAAAAATTAAGGTTAATTAGAATTTAAAAAAATGAGGCATTTTGATTTCTTACACCAAATAAAATAGTTGAGGTACTTAAAGTGAAATATCTATTAAAAATAACCACATTGTTGATGAACTTGTTTATTGACCGCATGATTTGTAGTGGTGGTCTAACAATTTTCATGATATTTTCTTGATAATAAGGAAAGTATTAAGTTCTTTGTATCAATGTTTTAGGACTCAGTAGATTCTACCGGTAATCTGCTGAGTTACTTCGCCTCGCCGTGTAGCTTGCGAGGCACTAAAAAAGTATGTAAAACCTTAAAAAAAAACTAAAAATAAAACATATTTCTATTATTTTTTTTAATTTTCGCTTATTTTTTTACTAACTATTTCTAACTTTTTTAACTTTATTTTAAAAAAAATTCCAGGGCATAGAAACATTGCTTTATATAGTATTCTTGAGGGTTTGCTAGGCCGGCAATCCATAAAATTAACGGTAGATAGGAGGTTTGAGTACTCTAACACTAAAAACCTGAAGTAACAAGTAGAAAAATCTTCAATGCAAGAGAAGTACTTAACACTACACCAAGAACTATGTGGTTCTAGAGACCTTGAGACAAATCTAAAGTTCAATGGTTTTAGAGCCTTATGAAGAGAGCATGGGAGATTTGCACTAACGAAATTGAGACATTTAAATTTCTATGGTTTGAGAATGTTAGATTGAGAAATTGAGAACTAATGAAAAATATGTGTTGCTGAGATAATTGGATCCGGTTACGAGAGAAACTATCGTACTAGTTCTAATACAAGTACAATCAGAAGAATCAAATATCTTTGATATCTTGGAATTTAAAATTTTTAGAAATTATGAGAACCGGTGGGAACATGTAAAAACACAGGGCCTGAGACTTGAATTGGTACCCTACCGGTTTCGAGCTGGCTCAGGGGTTTCGAGTAGAATAGCTATTCTTAGAACCAAGATTTTTAAAAAATGGAATGGTGATCTGTATTGCTCATTTGGATTTCCGATCATGTTTGATGGATAGACAATCCAGATCCCTGAACTGGACATTAAAAAAAATCAACAAGGAAAAAGTGGATCCGATTCTAGCCTGTTCTGGCCGTGTCAAGGGGGAAACCGGCTAGTTCCCGAAATTTTATGGGAACCTATTCACCCCAATCCAAAAAGGTGTTTTTTCAAAGATGGCTTAGAACAACTTTTATTTTTCTTTTATTTTTTTAAATACTTATAGAGGAGATCTTTCTTAGAGCTAGTTTGTATAGACTACTAAACACGATTTTCACCAAAAGCAATCGTAGAGTTATGGGCGGTTACCAGTGTCAAAAGATATCAAAATCACTATTATCCTTTAAATTTCAAAAAAAATAAGTAGCGATAAGAGTGTCCAAGAATAAAAAAATAAACACAAAGTTCTAAAAAAATAAAAATAAAAATAAAATTATGTAAGTCACGGTAAACCAATCAATTTGACATCTAACGTGTTGAGAATAGTTGTGACCCCTTTATACAAAAAATAAATAATATATTTATAGGCAATCCCTAAACTTACTTTATAGTACTAAAAAAAAAAAAAAAAGAACAAAAAACAAAAAACTTAGGGCGTCAAAACTCTCGAAAGAGAATTCACATAAATCTCAGGGCATTTTAGTCAACAATGCAAACATATAGGATCATTTTACCTTGATGAAAGCGAAACACCGAAACTATACATATAAAAGTATGAGAGAGAGGGGGAGTCGTGAAAGAAAAGGTGACTTGTATTATTGGGTGGGTGAGAACGTAGCAGAAGTTGAAGACTTCGAAGCTCCTTCGCCTCGCCCTTGTATCTATCTATTGAACTTGCCACTCTACAAATTGGTTCTGAGTTTATTTTCGTTGTAACTGTGTGCATTTTTCTCATCATTTGAGTTTTTTCTCAATTATTATTTGAGGTTCGTCACACGAATCTGAATCCTGTTTTATCTGTATGTACTTGGAAAATCGATTGTACCGCTCAGAACTTCCTGAAATAAATCGGAACCAGCAGTTAGCTTGTCTGAGTTTTTTTTCCCAACTCGGGACTCTGCCTATGAAACATAGACATCATATCATTGCCAGTTTTTCTGCTATGAAACTATGGTTTTTGGAATGATTTGAAGTTCTATACCTTGTTTAAGCATTTTAAAAATTTAAAATTTCATGGGTGTGTTTTTTTTTTTTTGGGTTTTCTCTTTTAGTTTGTCCAATTCGGCTGATCTCCAACTCGGCCGATTTGATTCAGAAGCAGTGGGTGATTGGGAACTGATTTTTACATATAAAGACGGGAGCAAATTATTGTTTTTGATCAGTTTCCATTGAATCCTAGGAAGAAAATTGACTTCTTTTAATATGACCATCCATGGCAATAGAAGTTATCACAGAGGTAACATAGACTCCTTTAACAGCTCAAAACAGAAGAAACCATAGTCTCCTTTCACTTGCTAATGCATATTTAAGTGGTGATCTTACATGAATAATTTGAAAAACTCTTTGAATAAATTACTGCAAAGTCTACATAAAAATTCCTTCTTTTTTTTTTTTTTTCAACTTAGTTTCTGAATTTTGTCTGGATTTCTCTTATTCGAAGAAATGGAAGATGCATTTAGGCTGAATCCTCTGGCTGAGTGTGTGAAAGAAGCTGTAATGTCCTCTTCAATGGCTGCCATTATGGATAACCAAAGGCCAACCAGTTTCTCTTCAGCTGTGGACTATGGAAGCCAGGTAAATGTCATCATTATTACGCATCCTTTTGCTTGAACAGTTGCAAAAACTCAAAAACGAAATCCCCAAATTCTCAAAATTTTCCGAAAGATGTATTGTTTGGGACTTTGGTTCTTTTGGAATGTGTGTTTTGTATAGCTACTCAGTACACAAACTGCATACTTTCATCATGTCATCTTCACCTGAAGCTTCATTTCCTGGTCTTTAGCAATCCTTTTCTTTTTGATTATTCATGGAATGTTAGTATTAATATATTCAGGGAATGTTTGAATTAATGTGAAAACAGTCTCTCAAGTTTTTGAGAGAGAGAGAGACGGCAGTTAATGAAATTAGAGAGAGAGAGAGAATAGACGGTGAAAGTAGAGAGAGAAAGGGAGACGTTAGTGAAATTAGAGGGAGAGAGAACAGAGAGGGAGAGAAAGAGAGAGAGCGGACGGTGAAAGTCGAAAGACTGGTCGATGAAAATAGAGAGAGAGAGAGAGAGAGAGCAGTCGGTGAAAGTACAAAGAGTAATCAGTGAAATTAGAGAGGGAGTGCAGTCAGCTCAGGTAGAGAGAGAGAGCAGTAAGCCAGAGTAGAATAATAGATGGCATGCTCCTCTCCTCTGAGAGCAAAAAAAATTAGGGTTTTTTCCTTGGGCCGATGTCCACAGAAACAACTGATGAATCCGTACAAACCCACTGGTTTTTACGAGGTTAAATTTGACATCGTGCACTGTTCATGTATGTATACACAGGAGGAGGAGGAATTTCCAAGGATTGAAGAACGAGCCGAGGGAGAGGAAGAAGTGTACGATACGATAAAAGCTAAGATCGCCAACCATCCTCGTTATCCGAGACTCCTGCAAGCATACATAGACTGTACAAAGGTTCACATGTTGAAACCCTAATTTCCATGTCTCGTCGATCTCTTACCGTCGATATTTATTCGGGTGGAATCTTAGCCGTTAGTTTTATGATCTCAGGTGGGGGCACCGCCGGAGGACGCGGCGCTGCTGGAGGAGACCGTGTGGTTGAGCGGTGGTGGCGGCTCTGCACAAACGTGTATGGACCCTGAATTGGACGAGTTCATGGTGAGTAAACAATTAGTCCATTGTGCTCCATACTTTTGCCCTTTTGGGTAATATTCAATACACGCCTAAAATGACTATTTGATAAAATACCTTTGCCAAAATGACGGTTTTGTCCTTGTAGGAATGCTGTTTTCCTTGGAAACTTCCATAATATATCTTATAAAATTGTAAAATTATACATTAAATTCATGGAACTATATGAGATTATTTATCTAACAAATTCATTAGTCGTAAAGTTTAATAAATTTTGTTTCGGACTTTGTGCCTCTTCACTAACACATATCTAATTAATGTGTCAAAACGTCTCACAATCGAAAGTAATTTTGACCACTTTGTACAAAATATAAATAGATTTATTGTATATTTTTTATAAAATCATTAACATTTGGTACAAAAAGGTCACGATCATCATGAATAATCAGATCTGAAATCAGTTGGCCTAAAACATTGCCATTAACTAGCACAATTTTTTTAAAAAAATACATTTTGTAACGGACCCCAAGTTGTGAGATTTAACATCTCAAGTCTAAAAGCTATTGATAAAAAAATTTAATGGATTTGTATATGGGGATTGTATACTATAAAACTATTAACCGTTTCAAACAAGAAAGGTTAACGATTATATAGTATACAATCCCAGATAGAATTGGAAAGCATTTATATAAAGTTGACACCCTAAAATATAGAATTAAGATGCATCTCTAAAATCCTTAGAAAACGGTTGTTTTGTTGTTCAAAAGACATCTAAATGATCATCTCAATGTATAGATAATATGTTTGATTTGAACTTTTTTTAGTTTAAAAATTGGGATTGTATGCAATGAGACCATTTAACTTTCATACAAAGTGGTCGCAATTCTTTACAATCATTTGATGTGAAATTTGATAGCTTAAATGTGTCACAGAGTTCAAAAAAATTTATTTTGAAGTTTGAGCTTGGTCAATGGAATAATTGCAGCGACCCAATTTCACATTTAATTTGTATCAAAAGTAAATGATCTCATTCTATACTTTCCCTTAAAAATTTTATAATTAGAGATAACAATAGATTATTGTACCCTATAAAGTTTATTATGTATTTGCATAAAACAAATGTATTACGTTGTATTTCATTCTACATAGCATCGTATAAATGGACAATCAAATCTAATTGTCTATAAAGAGACTATTTATCTTTTGTATATAGAGGTCATGATCATTCTTGTTCTTTAAATTTCGAAATGGGTGGTTGTAAAAGTGTCATTGAATAGACACAAATTTTCAAAAAAAAAATTCTCGGATTTCGTGACTCACCCCAAACTATCCAATTTGACATTTAATAAGTGAAAATGATTGTTACTTCAATGTATAAAAGATATATAGTCTCTTTATAGACAATCCCCAATCAAATTTCATCTTTAGCAAAAACCCTTGCTCTAAAAATCTATAAATCTCGGATCCGACTTAGAATAGTTCAAGTCGGATAAGGATCACAAGCCAGTGATTTCGGTTCAAGGAACCCGAAAACCGCCCTAGCCATCCTATGTTTTGCTTTTGTTTATTAGTTGCTTTGTTAAGTGTAGCCAGATTTAACTTAAGGAATCGCCCAAGTCAGACCTCATAAGTTGGAATTATAATGAGACCCTTAGCATGTCCAAGCCCGATTCGGATTGATTTTCAAAACACTAAACACCGATAAAACCTCTATAAATCCATAATGACATGCCATGTTATTGATAATATTATCAGGAGTCTTATTGTAAGGTTCTTCTAAAGTACAAATTGGAGCTTTCAAGGCCTCTTGAGGAGGCCAGCAGCTTCTTAACCAACACAGAGGCGCAGCTCATCAATCTATGCAAAGCAAGTGCTGTCCTCGGTATGAGATCCACTTTCCTCTGTCTTCTTTAAAAAGTTTATACTGTATGAGTAAGGTGTACCTAAATAACCCACTAGAGAAGATTTTTCCTATATTGGAAAACCCACGGATTGATCACCTCAATCTCGTGATTCATAGACATGAAAGAAAAGAATTTTTAGTCATAAAAATAGTTCATCTTCTAACACATTATCTGGACCGTTCATTTTTAAGATTTTCAAGTATTTATAGATCTACTTAACCATCACCATTTCTGCAAATAATTTTCCATATCGTCACAAAGCTTTGCGGCACTGAAACTTCATTTTCGGCATAGTTTTGAGGTACACCTTACTTCAATAGTTTAAGGTTGGCGCCTTATACAAACCTTACCCTTTATATAATGCTGTAAATCCAATATAAAGAGAGAAAGGTGTTTTTCAGCTGACCAATCCTTACTGTATTGCACTTATTTCTCTTTAAAGAAAGTTCACAGTAAAGAGGTCATCAGGTGATCCAAAATGAAATTAGGATTAAAGTAAAAGGCTGCACCTCTCTCTTAGCAATGCCCTCTTTCTCTTTATCGGTACTACCATCAATATGAATATCTTCTAACAAACAACCTCTTATATTCACTTAGAATGAGGTCATTTGAATGGTCATGACGTGTATGTCTACAGGTACGTGTGCAGGTCCACCTTAAAACATTACAATAGAGAAAACAATTACCCTTGAAACATAAGACGACACCTAACTCACAGCGAAAATTATAGACAACCCTCTCCATTTTACTTTCTAGGCATTGCCTCCTCCCCATTCTTCCCCCTTAAAAAAAAAATACTTTTTATACCTTATTATTAACTTTAATACTATCTATTGTTGCATCTATCCTTAAATAAAAAGTTTTGTTTTGTTTTTTTGACCAAAATACTTCAATTTTAACCTACATTTCTTTCTCTCGCTTTTGTTTTTTTAATCACACTCCCACTTTCTTTCTCTGATCTGCACCGGCACAATCTCAATATAAGCCGGTCCAAGACACTTTGTGCATCATTTTCTATAACTTCATAAATATTTGTGTTGAGTCCTAAAAGACTAAAATAACTTACCTTATTATATTAAATTAATTTATGTATAATAGCAACACACATGCGTATATGTAGATGCATATGTATAAAGTTTTTGTGTGTTTCCGTTTAAATGGTCCCTTTCAAAATTTCATCTTATAGATGGATTTTGAAGCAGAATTTCCATATCAATAATCTTGAACACCAGAGTCACGATCAAAAAAGAATGCGGAATTTAAACTTCCAGACCAGATTATTTTAAAAGAACTAATATTGAGAGCCCAAAAATATTCTACAAACAAAGTTTAAATTTATCTATGCCTAAGATAAATTATGAAACGAGACCGCACTTAAAAACTATGGGCACTTCTTAATTATTCTATTTGCACGTTAAATTGACAAACTTATGTATTCCAAGGTTAGCGGTTATTGTGGACTTCTTTTTGGTAGTGAAGTTGTAGGAATTGAACTAGGGACATGATGTTACAAATGTCAATACCTAAGCCAATCAAGCTCAAGCTGAATTGTTGAAAATGGGTGCACTTTGATATGTGAAATTAAGGTGCGTGTATCTTTTGAAGTTTTACAAAGAGTGATGTTTCCCTACTATTTGACCAATTGAAGTTTATATTAACGAGTCAATTTCATGGCTCTATATGAAGTTCATCACAATGTTTTCTAAACTCGGCTCGAGACCCAAGATGAGTAACTCGGCTAAGTAATGTATAGGGCTCAAAAGGCCCTAATCTAAGAGATTTTTTTTAAAAAAAATTCATAAAAAATAAAATAAAAATTTTAAATGTGAAACAAAACGTAAAACAGCATAAGAAATTCCAAATGAGTTGAAAACATATATAAAATGTGAATTTATATATAAAAAAAAATTTACGATTGTAGAGATTTTAGAAAAATTCAAAAAGATCGGAGGGTACAGAAAATAGTACATATGGCAAGAAAAAACTCACAAATCATTATAAACATTACACGTATAATTTTTATAAATTTTACAATTTTTATTTTTAATATGCTTGAGTTGTACTTGGGTACTTAGCTAGAAAAGTAGCTTAGTCCGAGTGGACTCGAACGAGGTGTTAAGTCTCTCATCTATTATTTATTAGACCAAGTTATTAGGTCTACTTAGGGTTTTAAAGAGCATTGGCTCAATTCGGGATTGTTGGCTGGGCGATTCAAGTTTATAGCTTCTTCTCAATATTTTTTATTTATTTTTTATTTTTACCAACTCAATCGTTTCAGATCGATTCAATGGAGGACCGATCCAAAACCCAATTCCAGGCGCTAAAACATACCAAACGGAACTAACGTAGTTTTGGAGAGTTGTTAAGCGATCTGGTCGCACTGAATCATGCAAATAGCAGATGGTGCAATCATTTGGACACATCGAAGGGGTTATAATGTGTTCAAATTTAAAGTATCATGATTCACAAAGACAGAGACATGCACCTTGCATATGAAAAGAAAGGCATATTTGTAGGCTTGACCCAGGAGGGAATCCATACAATGAAGCACATGAGGTCAAATTAAATGTACCTACAATCAAAACTTAACGAGGCAGGTGCCAAACACAAAGTCCACAAAGCTTAAACAACAATTTTCTTGGAGCTAAAACGAGGGAAAACTATAACAATAAAGATACGTATGTTCATTTGAATCCGGTTTCTTAAAATCGAAACACATTGACAAACCGAATCGAGCTGGCTTTATCAGTTTTGATCTGGTTTCTGTATAAAAAATAACAAGTGAGTTCCGATGGTTCCAAGTCGGCTCGGCTCAAGCTGACACATGTGAAAATAAGCTTGGTGGGTACCATGTAGGAGCATGGAAGGAGAAGTGGGCCTCCATTGTGTCCCTCACCATAGGAATTTGTCCCCCAAGAGAAACCACAGGATAGGAACGTGTCAGATGTCGGTCAGATCGGCCCCGCATTCTCCGCTGTGACAAAAGAAATCGCCAAAAACTTGGCCGCTTCAAATGATGCATGAGGACATTAAACGAGTCGTAAAATTCTTGGGCTTTGAGTTGTAAGTTAGTAATTATCGGGTGGTTATTCACCGAAGTTGCAAGTGGTGGACAGCCAACATAGGATAGCTCAGGGCTAAGGGTTCATGCTTTTAATAGCGCTTAGGGCACCTATTCAAGTAGCTTCAAATTTGGCCGTTTATTATTGTGAACTACTGCACGACCTGCATAATTTACTATAGAAACTTGGGTGGTTTTTAAAATTCAGGTTGGAAATTCTTTTATCGTCATCATGATAATATAAGCCTTATATCAGTTGTTTGGGATTGGTTAACCGATTCATGTCATTTAACTCTATTAAGAGTCCTACTTTTTTTTTATAGGTAATTTAATGGTGAAGACAGGCCCTTACTTGTTTTTTCACAAAGATTAGGGAGTAAGGTTTTTTTTTTTGAAGGTATCAGTAGGTGATGTCAGCAGGATTGAAAACCACAACGTGGTAACTAGGTATGGAGGTGCTACCACCACTACCCAGCCCCTTTCTTAAAAAAGTGGTAAGTCTGTGGGGATTTGGATTCCTACCCTCTGGTGAGAATGTAGTCAGAGACCTTGTCATGGGGCTACCGTCAAGACCTTAGGTCATTATCAAGACCCTACCCTTAGTTAGACCATAAGTCGTTATATCTTTTTTTATTACTTCCATCCATATTTTTTAGGACTTTTTCATTGCCCTTTTAAAACCCCTCACTTGAATCAAATCCTCATTCATAACTTGTGCTATTTTAGGTCAATGTTTTATATGAACATACCATCTAAGCCTACTTTTCTTCATTTTACTCCTAATGTCCTTGAAATGTATTTATTTTGAATTCTATCATTCTTTATCTTATCTTTATCTATCTCAACATCATCATCTCAGCATTGCTCACTCTATAGATATATTATCTCTTGATTACCTCAACATTTCGACCCATAAAAGCATAGTGGGTCTGACAACCGTCCTATAGAACTTGCTCTTAATTTTTTCAATAAAAAATAATCAAAATAATAAAAAAGTTGCGGCTTTCAATAAAAAAGTTGCAACAGCCTTATAATTGAAAGTCCTTCAATCCAAAATAAAAAAAAAGTTGGGTTTCTTCCAAAACATTGAGCTGAGATCTATCTCTAAGTTGTGTATCAGATGATTTCTAATACATTCAATACATATAAAATGAATTAAACTTTATTTTCAACTGGACAAGACAAGATATGTATTTTTTGTATGTTTTCTTTTATCAATAGGGAACCTTAGTCTCATAGAATTTTTTTCCTTTTCCTTTTTTCTTTTTCTTTTTTTTTTTTCACATTTGGCCAACCCATACCATCACAATTCTTATTCTTTGTACACTGATTTATCTACTCCATTTTGCTTACTGTTTCTTGGGTAAGCTTTCTATGATTTCCCTACTACATAAAGTTTATATACTTCCCCCCTATTCAACTGTCCATTCGGAATTGATGACTGAGATGACTCCAATCACAATGTTAAAGTCTGTACACTATTTTATTTTTTATTTTTTCCACACAATATTTTGACACCAAATTTTGGGCATCTACTCTTTTAAACTCGCACTTGTAAAAAAATATTCTTAATTAAATAAAATAACCAAAATACCCTGAAAGTTTCAAGAGGTACTTTGATTATTATATGTTATCAAAAAATTATTTTTAATATTTTTTTTAGTACGACCCTTTGAGAAGATCATATTCAAGCTATTTATATAAAAACAAGTAAAAACAAAATATTTTGAAACGTCGAAACTAGATCAAACAGTCCATACCCCACTTGATCTAAATTGGATAGCTTGATCAAGCGTCGAAACTAGAAAGCCTTCCCTTGTTTTTTTTGGCATGCAAGTAAGAATTCCATTTAGTTGTTCACAGTTGCTGTACTTCTCACTTCTTTTCCTTCTCAAAAGTGTGGCAAGGTTGGGATCC